GGACAACAAGAGGAGGACAAGACCCGGACACAGAGCCCGGCCACAGAGTTCACGCGGCCAAGAGAATGACAAGAGGAGGACAAGACCCGGACACAGAGCCGGGCCACAGAGACCACAGAGTTCAGGGGCGCGGCCAGTGAGTGTGGCCAGCTCTATTTTTCTAAGATAGAACCCCAACAGTAAACTGTTTGGGGAACAAACCACTACTGGCCACTGAGTCACTGGCCACTGTCAATAGCCGAGCTCTTGGATTCAATATATACCCCCGCCTCCACGTGCCAGCAAGGACCGCAAGGCTTCGACGATGGCCTTCTTCACACTCCCGGGGAACTTGTCGCCGACGATACGGATCAAAGGACCTCCGATACATTTCGCCAGTGATGTCGGGCAAAAGAACTAAAATCAAAGAGGTCCCTCCAAAGAGAAGAAAAAGAACACCGCCTTTGAGCTCAAGGAAGAAGAACAAAAAGACAAGTATCTCAATGTGTTTCGCCAACGTGTTTCTTCCCAAAGGTCCATTAAAGTTAGAAGATTGAGGGGCCTTGAAGAAGCACCCAGTGGTGACCACATAGCCAGGATGACTACGAGGATGACTACGACACGAGGATGCTCTGTTCCATCGACAGCTCAATGACAATCAAACAAATCTGACGACTACTTGTTGGAAGCCAGCCTCGCAGGCTTCTCTCTCCCCAATGGAGGCCAGCCGGAAGATGTTTGGAGCCAGCCTTTCATGACTTCTTACCTTCAAAAACATGTTTATTGAATGTGGTTGTTTCATGGTGCATGTTCAAGAACGGCATGTTTCACCTTCCTTTACCGTCATGCCTCTCCCCCTTTTGGTTCCGCACCCGGCTCCCCACCGGTTCCGCGGAGCCACCGGTTCCGGCTCTCCACCCGGTGAAAACCGCCTGTGATCTTCACCGCGTAAGGCGCCAGGGCCTTCTCTGTGGTATGGTCCACCAGCTCTCCGAGGCCTGCGTTCACCGCACCGCCCTGACCCTCCGGTGTTCTTGGGCGACGTGACCTCCGGGGGTTCACCGGCGTACCGAGCTGGGGAGGAAGTTTGGTGCCCAGTGCAGATGTAGGAAATGCATGGGATCGTCATGACGTAGCCAGGGAAGAAGACTTCACAGCATATGGCCATCAAATTGCTTTGAATGACCTTCCCTATGGATCCACAGACCTCTTCAAAAGGTGATTGGAGACACGAGGATCCAAATACCTTCTGAGAAGGTACGACTGGATCCCTCGAGCTTGAAGGTCCCTTCCAGTCCACGAGTCTGCTCCCAAGTCTCCTCGAGTCGAAGCCCCAGCCTTTCGCAGCCACCTCGCGGGCATCGGGACTTCCATGTACCAAGGCATGTTGGTAGATGGGATACAGCGGCTCCAAGCCCTTGTGGTTGCAAAGTCCTCTCCGCAGTGGTTGGCAACGTGGGGGGGGACGATGGGCGGAGGAAAGGGGCAAAAAACCATGTGCAATACATGCGGGCAGCGTCCGATGTGGTTGCGGAGCATGGACCTTCAATGATGAGCCAAAGGGCCAACCAGGGCCAGCCCTTGGCAGGTGGTTTTGGTTGAAGAAGATTCTGCTGAGTTTCAGTTTCAGGGTGTAAAATTAAAAGTATATCTGCCGATGCACTTAACCCATCCCAATCGGCTAAGATATTCCCCCCAATCAATCCCATCCGACTCGGTGCGAAGAGCAGCCGACCGAAGCTCAGAGGGTTCGGTGGGCGAGAACCGCACGAAGGAACTTCGGTATCTACCAGGGCCCCCCCGGTTTGGGGTGGTTAATGGACATCCCGAAAAACCTCTAAGGAGCTATAATCGGACACCCCGAAATGGGGGCCCTGGTGCTCACCCATTCACCCACCATCCGCTGGAAACTCGGCTGCTGGGTTCGTCCACGACCACTTCGTCGGCTCCTGGGAGGAAGATCTCCGGGTCCACTTTCTTCGTCTCGGGGTCCGTGATGAGCTTCAAGACCGTCCCGCGTACCTCGTTCAGGTAGGGCGGCAGCTCCTCTTTCTTGCCTCGGCCAGCGGGCCAAAGGAGGCAGGCGCCAGCTGGGTGGCTGGGCTAGCTGGCTGTCGCATGGAAGCTGGCGACTGATGGGAAGCGGCCATCTAGGGGGCTCGCTTTTATGCTGGGCCAGCTATCTCCCCAGGGCCAGCATGGAAGCTCTTTTCTTGGAGAACTTAAGGGTGGGTGATGGGTCTCAAAAGGGGTGTGTGGCTCGCTTTTCAGTGTTGGTCAATGTTCCTTTGGGTGAGGGGATGCAAATGGATGAAGTGCTGTCAGCCAATGTGTTGGTCACTCCAGTCATAGTAGAATGGCATAAACAGGGTACAACGGTCGATGACCAAGCTCATACAACGCATTGTTTATAAGAACTTGCAACATGCCCAAACTGCTCAATCGAAAAATGCTCAGTCATCCGAAGAATGCATTGACCATCAAGGCAGGACTGGTCATAGGAATAGGAGCATTCTGCGTGAACAGCCAATACTGCTTTTAAAGCTCTTCCCTCCCACGAACGTGAACCATGTCAGGTCGACCGACCAGAGTCGCCTTGTCACGAACACGTACCGACAAGTGTACCGACAGGGCTATCTGAGAATCTGTATCTCTCCAGAACTTGCATGAACACCTCCAAATTCCTCAAAGCCCAACCAAGTCAAACCTCCCACGTGAAAAAAAAACAGAACCTCCCAGATGTCAAACCTCGAGTTCGTCATCTTTTGGTCCTCACCTGTCCCTGGGACCGTCCACCCCGTCCCTCTCACTCGTCGAAGTGGCACTTCTTCACAATGGCGTTCAACGCGCCCATGGCCGCGCTCAGCGCGTCCTCGTCCTGGTCCGCCAGTGCCGAGGGCAGCAAGGCGGGTAAAGCCAAGGGCAAGGCCGGCACCACATCCAAGCCTCAACTGATCTGCTTGGATGAGGCGTGATGGGCATAGCTCGGGCACCCGGAGGTCAAGGGAGCTCGGAGGGGAGGAGGAGCACGGTTCTTCCATGTTTGAAGGGATAACTGGCAGGTTGGGGTTGGAGGTCCAGGAGATCCACAGGGCCCGTTTCACACGAATCTTCGACAAATCCGACTCACGGAACTGGTGCCCATCAGCAGCTGGAATGTGAATGAAGGGAGTTGAGGAGGATGAACTGGTCAAATGATGGTGCACATCCATGCTACCTTCTTTGGAACCCATATGCTGGATCGAACGAATGAATCGGCTGGTGAACTGGGCAAGTTCGCTGTAGCATGTCGCCATGTCCACCCTCGCCATGTCCACCCTCAGCCACAGTGATCTTGATTCATTGACAATCCCTATTACACTATGTTAGCTTCTCCTATTGGAGGGAAGCCACAAGCTGCCCCAGCTTCCTTCCACAAGCCAACACAAATGCCAAGTCTTGGTGAACATGGACAAATATACCCTGGGAGTCAAAGACTACAAAAAGAATGGTCTTTAGGGGATCTGAAAGGGAACTTCCTTTACTTCAGCCGGTTCAAATATAGTCCTTGGACTTCTAGGGTATAGTTAGTTGTGCCCCAACTATTCACTGACTGGATGCTATCAGTGCGGAAAATCCGCCCTGCGGATCAAGCTGCCGGTGTTTTCAAAGAAGTGCTTCAACAGTTGTGCACCCACCACACGGCGCCGAGCACTCTCAGCATCCTGGAGGCATTCTGCCGCTTGAAAGAAGCAGCCAAGCATAGCGGGGAGCGGGGTCGGTCTTAGGCCAAGCAGAAGGAGAGGGTAGTCCGACAAGCGCTGTTTGGGACAAAGGATTGTGACCTGAATCATGATAGTTGATATCATGCAACCTGAATCGGTCTTGAGACCCGAAATCAGTTAACTGAAGAGACCGCAACCAAACAGCACATCCACAAACAGCACGAGTTCGGGATGTGCACTTTGGGCTTGGGCGACCGCAACAGCACGACCCCCCCCGGTCGAGTTCAGATTCGGAGTTCACCTCGATCAGACCCGGCCAGGGCCGGTCATTATCGTCTCCAGAAACGACGACGTCAAGACGTTCCCAACCAGGTTGGAGCAGTCTATACCCATTCATAGACGGTCTACCCGGCCCAGGTTGGTGGTCTATGTCCCCCCGACGAACTCGTCCTCCCAACGAAATTTCGTTAACTTGGAGGGTTCGGTCGACGAAGCTTCGCGCTCGACTCTACTGGTGGGGTGTCAACTCACAAACGGAAGAATAAGAACAACGAGTCAGTGGGTTCAATCATCCCAACTTCAAAGTTGAACATGAACATATCTATGAAATTTAAACCTTCTGAAACGGTACCAATAATTATAGTAATATAGCTTCTCTGGAAAAACCAAAAGGGTCACCGAAAAAAATATAGAAATATTGCCTCCTTCGAACGCCTCTTCGCAGCCATCGCCCATCCTTGCCGCCCGTCTGCCCTGCCCGGCTCTCCCCTCGGCGCTCCTGCATGGGACCCACGAGCTCGTTGAGCAGCATCACCAGGCCAGTCTGCTCCACTGCGTCCACCACGCGCGCCGCCGACTCCACTGCCACCTCCTGCATCTCAGGGTCCTCGCTGAGCGCAACGTGGCGGAGCGCCACGACGTGGCGGTGAGGCGGAGGTAGGTGCTGCGGTGTTTTTTGGGGGGTAGAAATGGCGCAACATGGTGGGGTGTCGAACAAAGTCTATTAGGAACTGTTGGAACTTTGGGATGGGTTCTAAATGTGTTTCCTGATGAATTGTCTGTAGAGTTTGAGCTAGACTTTGATGCGCTCTGTAATGACATGCGCGCTCTCTCTCTCTCTCTACCTCTCCCCATATCTCCCCATTGAAGCTTCATTGAGGGCACCACCATTGTTCAATTCTCACTTCAACCGAAACGGCTTCCGTATTCGAAGACCACGGCGCGTCGCTGGTGCTGGCCACTTTGATGATCACAGGCAGTACATCTCCCAAGTGACCTTGGCACACAAACCATGGCAGCACATAGATGACCATAAACCAAACATGTTGAAACATGCACCAGGAGTCACAAAGGAGTGGTTTTTAGTCCCCAAGTGAGTGGATAGTGGGCACCCCTAACCTCCATTAAGCACCCCTTTGTGACTGCAGGTGCATGTGCTTTTGTAAGCTCCCATTCGGGTTGTCTGGAAGCTCCCCGTTTCCGCGATCTCTCTGCCCTTGTGTCCCTTTGGCTGTATGTGGCATAGGAGCTTCTGATTTGAAGCTCATACCATAGGAATAACATATTATATTATATTAAGCACCAAAAATAGATGTAATATCGATTGTATTAAATTACTATTCTCAGGTAGATCAACTATACCAAAGGCAAAACTGGTGTGCATATTTGTACATCTTGGAACCGTCTTCCTCAGCTGGCAGTCAACAGCTGCCACTTAATGCTCATGGTCATTCGAGGATAAATTCAATATCCTCTCACACTTGGTTGCAACCACATGGCATCAAATGGCCCCAACTTCCCAACTTGGAAACAAATCCAAACACACACGCGCACATTTGTGCCCATACACTTTTCGGGATTTCCAGCATTTCCGCCTTGACACACTATTTTCTCCTCCTCCTCCTCCGAACCGCCCAGTAGACGTCCGCCCAGGCACGGTGCACCGCGTTGCGGTCGGGCACCACCGACAAAGACGCCAGACCCTGCACCTGCAGGGCATCTGAGGGTCTTCAAATGGTGGAAGACTCCGGACGATGTGGTCGGAATTCCGAGCCCATGCATGATATGCATGGAATTTGGGATCCTAAACTGTCCCAAAGTTGTTCTTCCGGGGGGAAAGCTTGGCCAATGCTCAAGCTTCTTGGGGTCGTGTAGTGAGAGAAATGGCGCCATCCTCAGTCCCCCGAGTCGCGCGAAGGCGCCTGCAGCGGGGTCCACTCGGTCTTCGTCGGTGATGCGAGCTCGCCCAAGACGGTGGGGAGAACCGCGCCTGGCGGTGAATCGTGGCCGTTCTGCTTTGAAGGTCTATACCAGGGCATACAGTACCAGGGCCCACAATCGGGGTGGTTGATGGACACCCCGAATCACATCTCAGGGGCTATTAACATCTAAGCCCCATTAGGTTGACCTGGTTGGGGGTTAAGAATGTTTAAGATGGTTGAAGGGGCTCTTGGCAAGGTGCCCTTTCTTGTTCTTGGAAAGGAGACTAGCTGTAAGATGCTGTAAGCAGTACGTGAAATTTGTAGGAGAACAGTGCGGACAGGTGCCCTTCTACTGAGTAAGCAGTAGGTGTTTTAGCAGTAAGGAGACTGACTGGCTGAAAGTCTAAAACCAGAGGTGCTCTTGGGTCTTCAAATCTTTTGGGTCTCGCCATCCGATCCGCTCTCAGCATCCCGAAGCCAGGCACGTGGACATGGCCCGGCCACTTTCATGTGAAGCAAAAAGATCCCCTCAGCCACTGTGGAACCATCGCTCTGGAGTGGGCCTGGCTGCTTCTTCATGAGCTGCTCCAAACCATGAAGGAAGAGTTCGCCCTCCTCACAAGAGTTCGTGGGCCAACGAAACTATAATGAACTACCAGGAGTCACAAAGGAGTGGTTTTTAGTCCCCAAGTGAGTGGATAGTGGGCACCCCTAACCTCCATTAAGCACCCCTGTGTGACTGCAGGTATAATATCCAAGAAAAGGGAGAAGCCTGATCTCTTCGTGGGTGCCAATCGCCCAAAAGAAAGCTGCACGCTGCACCCCGTCCCCGTCCCGAGCGTTCCCGCCCCCCAAGTGAAGAAGCTGCACTGGTCCGATGGTGGTGAATGGGTTCGGGCCGATGGTCCGCCATCGATGGTTCTTGCGCCATACCCCGAACAACCTTCCTTCGTACCTGCGAACGGGTGAACGGGATGACCAAACACCCCCCAAACACCGAAAAAACACCTCAAACACGTATGACTGGAGCCTTAGGGCCTTTATGGGATATGACATATGAATGAGGTTCATCACTGTTTTTTTTGATCCTTGTCGGAAGAGGAAAAAACATGACCAAGACATTCAAAAAATAACTCATTAATTAAAATGGGGTCTATCCCATTACCAGTGACAGTGGATGATGATGGTTTGTGAAGGCCTCTCTCTAAAATATTCTAAAATAGTGATTCACTGTTTACTGACTGTTACAGGTTTACTGGGGCAGACCCAAAATTAAAACATATGTCTTTGGACTTTGGCCTGTTCTCAGTGGGAGCAGAGCGCCAAAAGAGTGAGTGTTAGTCACTACTGTTGACATCACATCAGAGCCTGGAGAGAGTAGCTTGGCAGCCTCCAGCACCTTGCTCTTGGCCTTGACTGCCTAGACTACAACCGAAGCCGGCCAAAAGCTAGTTGGCCCAGCAGCCTTCAGAACTTGATGTTTGATGATCACTCAAGGTAATTAACCCAGAGTTTGCAGGGAATCATCTGCTGCAATGAAGATCTCGACGGCACTCTGTTGATCAGCAGAGACGAGACGTCTGGGCTATCTCAGTAGCAGCGGAGCTGCTCTTGGATGCTTTTTTGACCCATTATATTGATCATCGTTCCCTGCGCTGCCGGCTCCCACTCCTCGTCCCCTTCAAGCTGCTCGAGCAACCACTCTACCACATCTTTGGTGGCCCGTGGCCCCACGGCATTGTGCAGCAGCGCCACCACCTAAGTCAACCGCCGCAGGTGCTGGGCGGACTTGACGAAAGGCCCCGTTCCAGAAAGGCCTTTCCGTGCCTTTATCAGGGGTGCCCAGTCGTGGCCGGTCATCTTGGACCAAAGAAGGGGAGGTTTTCAGTGAAGCTGCCTTTTTATGAGTGGCAGGTTTACTCTAGACTTGCGATGAGCCTCAGAAATAAGCTTGCCAGCCCCTACTACTATAGTTACTAGCAGTTCGGGGTCCAATTCCCATTTCTCTGTTTGGGCACCTTCGTGATCGACAATGTGCTCTTCGCGCGAAAGACCAGGCGCAGTACTGGCTTGATTTCTCACCGAGTCGTCATCGTCGATGATCGCCTGCTGAATGGCGGGGATGAGCTGCGTCAGGTAGGCCGCCAGCAGGTCCTTCTTGTTTCGTCGTCGTTTGGAAGCGAAGCGAAAAGGGGGGCCGTCACGGTGAGAACATGTGAACACCACCGTTCTTTTTGTG